TGTGTGTGTGTGTGTGTGTGTGTGTGTGTGTGTGTGTGTGTGTGTGTATGTACGCGTTTTCGCACCGTGCGGTGAACGTTTCAGTGAGTGCCGGTTTAAGTCCAGTGTTGGGGAGCCAACTGTGCCAGCTAGCTCTGGAGCAAATACGCCTCGAGCAACAGCAATCAATATGTAACTTTCCTCATCCACGGAGAAATCCCGGCTGTCCCCAGGCACCCATGCAAGGAAAGTCACTTGATTATGAAAGTGTTTCAGAAGAAAAGCAGACTCCGGTGCAGAGAGAGGCAGTGTCTCCAAGAAGGGGGTAAAAAAGCCTTTCTTAAGTCATGTTTTGTAGCTTCATGAAACTGAAATCTGGTTGAACAATATTTAGAGTTCTACCTTTTCCTATCTCCTATTACAGGTCACAAGGTAACACGAGGACACTCAACACCCCAAAGCTTCGGTGTCTAGTTCACCGTACTAAAGTTCCAAACAACAATTGATATTGTTTCAAACCAAAGACCTCTGATAATATTTTCAAAGTCTCTTATATGTAGAAGCTGAACTGTTAGGCAAGAACTTCTATCAGTAGGAGATCAAAGATGCCTGTTTTATAACTATAATCTAATCTATCAATCTGTCTGTCTATCTGTCTCTGTCATCTATCTCCCATCCCCATCCCTGCTCTAAATTCTGCATCTTCTCCAGCTTCAAAACTTGCTTTTGCCCAAACTACCTTCACAACCCAAACATCAACAAGTCACAATAAGGTTTGCTTTTGATCTAGGGGTTCTGGAGAAGAGTTAAGAGAGAAAAAAAGAAACTGGTGGACTGAAATAGAGAAGGTGAGTATTTTTATTGTTAGAGTATTGATTATAATTCATAAATACTGAAGTTAAGTTGCCATTTATAAATTGTGGATGACTAACATACAAATCTGTAACATGAATCATTCAGAATTTCAAAGAAAATCAAATCCAAACCAATTACAAGAAAATTCTGAATATTGTTAGGGGGATAATTGCTTAAAGATTTCAGTAAAGGAGTTATTAATTTCCCAGAGCTTCAAGGAGATAACCTATAGTCTGATTTTGTAGTCTGGTCTCTTTCCAAATTTACCACTCCCTTGAGAGACCAACAGCTCAAAAATTCAAAGAGGAGCTCTTTTTAGTCAGACTTTAAAATTCTAAAATGTTCCTGTCTTGTCTTTTCTAAATAGGTTATTTTGCATATATGTTTTAATAAACAGGGGACTCAGCCTTGTCAAAATCTAGGCTGCTTTCTTAGGTGTTCTTTAACCACATAGCCTTGTAGAGTCAGAGGTTTATGTCTCTGGGGTTAGCAATGTTGGTCCAACACACATAGTTGGGAAACTGAGGCTTGTAATTGTTATGAACAGACACTACTGCCTAAAAGAGGAGTGATCACATATTCATCTATCAATCTTTATTTTTCACTTCTCTCTCTCCTCACTCTGCCCTAGTTCTAAGGATAGACACCAGGGCCATGCAAAGCTAGGCAAGAGCTGAAACTCCTAGAAATGTCTTCAGAAACATTGTAAATTACATTTTTAAATGACCCTTTAAAAGTTATTTTTAATTGCCTAGTGATGAGATATCTTTGAGTTTCACCATAACACAAAAGCAAAACATAAAAAAAAAAAAAAAATTCAAGGTAGGTTACTATGGTGCATTGATTGGGCTTAACATTCATCATAGTGCTATGAAGTAGAAGGGAGATTGGAAACACAATGCCTGACAAAGGACATGATGATGTGAAAAATACATCTCCAGGAGCACACATTTTCTGAGAACCCCCTACAGAGTAATTATGCCACACCGCCCCCCAGTGTTTGCCGAAAGAACTATGTGCAAATGGTTAATGACTTAGGGCATCTGCCAAGAACAAAGGACACACAAATATCTTTCTTATATTCCATGTTCCTGTAGTATTGAACATGGATGTTGAGTACTGACATGTATCCTAACTAACTAATTTTATACTTATTATCTCCACATTTCTAAAATGTGAAATGGACCTGACTGATATCTCAGTTCCGATTGCTTGGCTTGTTTTCAGTCAGTTGTGATAATCATATTTAACAACAACAACAAAAACCCTTTCATGGTTTTTAAAGTCTTTTTCTTCTTGTGTTCACAAAATATTTATTTGAAAATTTCTTTTTAACTATCTTTAAAATATTGAGCTTTATTAGAATAAAAAAGATGATGTAAACATATTAGGCAGTTCAAAAATATTACTGGTTTTAAAGCATGGCAGGCTGTGTCATATATGTCGTCATGCCAAGGAGTTTAGAAGACTATCATGATGTGCATGTACTAAAGCAATGTCAGATATTTTAAGAACAGCTTGCTTGATAATCATTATTTGTAATTCATATTCAACTCGAAGCCAAACTTTCACCCTTCTCTTTTTAAATGCACATATTCTGACCATCTCAAGATCGTGTGTGCTCACTCTGAATCTGTGTGGGACCTAGTCACTGAGAACATGTAAAAGACATAACATTTGATTAATTAATAAAAACAAGGTGTGTAAGTTGATTTTAGAGATAAATTGATCGGTGTGTTGGAATTACTTCAAAAAGAAATATTGTAGGTTAATTTTGCAGGCTTA